CCAGCTCTCAGGGACCCTGTGGATGGAAGGCAGTGCTGGGGAAGTGGGAGGACACAGGCCTGTGAGGGACTGAGTGCAGGCTACACAGAGGGCAGGAGCCTCCTCCTGGAAAGAGCAGGAAGGATGCGCGCAGTTCTAGGTCTGTCTGGTCCTCTAGTCCAGAACACAGTGGAAGAACCTCTGAGGTCAAGGTCACAGGCACTGGGGGGACTGATGAGCACGGTGCTGGTCTCCCCTCAGAAAACAGATTCCTATTGAGCCACTTTTGCTGAGTACTCTCGAGTCGGAATCCACCACAGCTGACCCTCCAGCGGGTTTTCAGAGGCGGTAAATCACATGGGAGGAGCATGCCCGTCTTTCTCCTGCAGAGAGGCTGGGGGACTGGAACCGTGTGCCTTTGTGTTGGTAGCACGTTTCTTTACCACTAAGCTGCCAAGCCTCCCTGTTGGGTCACTTGGAACTGACTTTTAAATGGCAACATACTTGTTTTCCGGGGTTTGAGTTTCAAAAAAGAACCTCGTGATGAAGGGTACAGGGGTCTGAAACCGACTGCAGAGACAGACACCAGGACAGGTGAGTGGCCAGAGAGCATAGAAGCTGTTGTGCGTGTCATACAGGTGTGACTGTCACTCCAAGAAGACGCTGCAGGACGAGGCTGGGGGCAAACCTGGCTGCACTCTGCAGACCCCAGTACTTCTGACTTTCCTCATCTGGAAACATCTATAATGAAACGCAGAAAACTCAGGCCCAGTTCTGGCCTCTCTGTCACCTCAACTTGGATCTCTGGGTTCTGGGCTCAGCTGGGCGATGAGGACACAAACCCCTGGACCAGGCCACCACAGTCGCAGCAGCCCCCAGGACGAGGTGGTGTCAGGGCACGCTGGTTCTGACCTCGACGCCAGCAGCAAGAACAGAGTGACCATTTATGATGGGCTTGGCGATTCTGATCACAGTGACCCTGCGGAGCTGGCGGGATTGAACCCCTGACCTTTTGGTTTGCAGCAAACTCCTGAGGCAGCGGGCCAGCAGAGCTCCGAGCTGCTCAAAGAACGAGAACTCACTGCTGTCACATTGGAATCCGCTCACAGCTGGCCCTCGCCTGGGTTTCCAGGCTGTGAACGGCAAGGGAGGATTCTGCCCAACTTTCTCACACAGAGGCGTGTGGCCTCCTCTAACGTCACCAGGGAAGGGACCACCAAGACAAGAGCCCAAGGTTGACTCTGATGACCCAGAGATCAAACACGCTGCACCCCTAACTTAAATACCCCTCCCGTGGCACTGTCGTTGTTGTTGTTATGTGGCATCAAGGCGGAACCCACGCACAGGCGACCCTCCAGGGTGCTCTCAGAGGCTGTGAACGGCCTGAACGGACGCTGCCCATCTTGTTCCTGCAGAGCAGGTGGTGGGCTTGCACCCCGTGCCTGAGGCCAGCAACGCAGCTCCTAACCAGGCGGCCCCCAAAGGCTCTGGATGACTCGACTGTCAGTCCAGTGACACGGCTCAGCGGGGTTCCAAGTGTCACCACAACGTCTGACTTAATCCTCAGGGCTACACTGAGCTGGACCTGCTGGCTGCAGTCCCGTGAAAGGAGTGGATGCTGAGGTGGAGAGGTCACGTCCAGGGGAGAGAGGAGCCAGGCCGTGAAAGGCATGGATGCTGGGTGGAGGGGTCACTCCCAGAGGCCAGTGGAGCCAGGCTGTGAAAGGCGTGGACATTAAGATGCAGGGGTCACTCCCAGAGGGCAGCGGAGCCAGGCTGTGAAAGGCGTGGACAGTGAGATGCAGGGGTCACTCCCAGAGGCCAGTGGAGCCAGGCCGTGAAAGGCGTGGATGCTGAGATGGAGGGGTCACTCCCAGAGGGCAGCGGAGCCAGGCCGTGAAAGGCGTGGACAGTGAGATGGAGGGGTCACTCCCA